TTTGTAAATAAATGCATGTTTTGTTAAAAGAGTTACTCTTTAGTATACATTACATATTTAGGCAAGTTTATATCTATTTGTATTTTATGTATTTATTATGTGTTATAATTATTTAGAATAAAAAACCGGAAGCAGATAACTATTATATTTATTTTTCAGTGTCGTACAGTATAAGTTATAATATTTTATACAAATCGTATATATGATTTAAATATATAAATATATACGCTAAAGGAGTCGCATTTTTGGACTTTGGCCAAATGGTCCTAAATAACAATTTTATTTTAACGCTGGTTTTTTCCGATAGTTATTAATTTATTAATTATTATAAAAATATATTTAATGATAGTAAATGAAATTTCAGTTTCCGGTTACACACTCACTCTATAGGTATATATAATATGTAAATAATCGTTTTATGTATATTACATGAGTACGAGAAATTTAAATATTGACGAACAAACGCAGTTGTCATAGTTAAAAATAAATTATTTGTTTTTGTGTTTCTAATGTATATACATTATACGATTCTATTTATTAAAAAATAATTCTTTGAAATTGATGAGGTCTTTTACTGAGTTTTGTCATTTTGTAAAAACGATAATATATAATAATATCAAAATCCATCAATCATGACTTCATGAGTCATGACTCATGACTGACAATGTATACATTACAATAAACTTATAAGTAAAGAAATATTTTTAAAATTACTTTTGTTAGTTTTATTTGATATAATATATACTTAATGATTTTAATATAATTTTTCAGCACTTATAACATTTTAACTCAAAAAAAATCTGGAGTAATTAATTCTTGAATAACTTCTATTGAGTTTATAGGTACACTGCAACAATCAATAGTTGTTGGTTATTATTATATCTATATAGTTATTTTTATTATAATCTTCATCACTCATACACTAATTAACACAGAATAAATAATATATACAGGATAATATTTAATATTTTACGTTTAAAGATGTAAAGTTATTTTCACGTAAAGCGGTTATTGAATAGAACTCACTTTTCACGAATCAGCTATAGTTATCGAATACAATTTAACATGGTGTTTACGTATGAAGAACGATCCCATAAATTTCGTTTATCTTTTGTAAGTTAATGCATTATAATTGTGTAAAAGTAATACCGTTTTTTTATGCGATATTGGTAATTTTCTTTAACTAAATATAGTTATTTTTTTTTTTTCAACATTTATTTGAATATATACAATCTATAATGATAGTTACAATGAACATATGTGCAGAATTATAAAAATTTGGCTGTGAATGCGTGAAGGCCAGGGGGAGTAGCTACCCAGCAGTAACATTCGACTACAGAATATATGAAATATAAAAGGTATACTTAACGTCTTTACCTATAAAACGTTAACATTAATACATTATGAGGAAATTGGTTTAGTCAGTATAAGTATACAAAAATGTAAATAATATTGTTTAAAATACAATCAAACAAGTGGTTCTGTAAAATTTTTCGTAAAAATTCACCCGGATAGATTATGCCACAGATATTTTTATTTTCTTGTTTAATTTTTAATTTTTGATGGGGATGAGTTGAGTTTCGGTAAAAAAATCGAGTAAAAAAACAACAATATTTTAATTTTAAAGGTACATAAAGAATTAAGAACTACAATCGTAATTAATTTCAGTATTGTATCAAATTTCATAGTACCTACTATTATAGTAGCCTATAGTGTTTATAATACGAGTACATCACTATAATTAATTTGTACACCATGGTCCATGGCGAAAATCCTAGACAGGTTGTATTGTGTAAGTGTAACATTGCGAAACATTCAAACACGCACTACTGCCGATACTTCATTTATATCAATGATATTATAATAGCAGGCACGCAGAAAGTGTTTTCCTTGTAACGTCGCAGTTCACAAGAATGTTATCATTTACGTCGGAAATCCGTTTAATTATCATCGAATGGTCCATTACAATGATAATCATGGTACATCACAAGACTGCTGCAGTTTATTGTTTTTGATAAGTAATTGTGCTATACGTATTATAAATTATAATAAACCCAGCTCTGCTTTGTGCTTACACGACTGTAAAGAGACAGTAATCATGTGATTTGGAGGAGTATTGACGTATTATACTGTACAATTTGTTCACAGGAAATGTAATAATGGGTTTGGTATTTAGACAATTGGTGATTGGTCCCTTGAACTATTGTAGATGATTCTCGAGTATGTGTATATTGCGAGCTGCAACAGTAGTTGTATACACATTAAAATTTTGGGCGCTTGATAAACTGTTCATTTAAAAATTATATTTCTAAAGATCAGAAATACATGAAATATCAATGTATCATAGTGTCAGGGTCCTGAGCAGTGAGCACCACGATATTATTATTACTATACATACAGTGTTTCACCTGTTAAGAGAATACATCTTGAATACATATAATTTATAACGAGCTATCATAATAATATCATGCCTTCAAATATCTTTAGGTATATAATATATTATAATAAGTGTCTATTTAACTCAATATTTTTTTTTCATTTTATATTTTGTTGATATTATGTAAACCTCTTAGATAATTTTGTCAATATGTATCCGCTCGTAATCCAAGACATACAATTTTCCTCTCCTCTCTAATCCTTATCAAGTACTTTTATATATAAGTAGGTATAATGTACACATGTTTATCATTTTTGACTGGTATTTGCAAAATGAATCCAATAAAAATTATTTAAAGAGAAACTTCTTTGTATTTAAATTTAAATAAATCATACATGTATACAAAGTATTAGTTCAGTTCTTTCTTTAACTATAGTTTAATATTGGGTGACCATTTTTATAAAAATAAAAAACGGGACAAACAATTTTTTATTAATATGGTAATTTTTTATTTTTTCCAATTACATTTAAGTTACAATTAATTAAAATAACAAAATAATAACTGTAATAAATTGCTCTTTTTAAAATTGTTTTATATTTTCTTAATACATTGATATTTTTTTTTACAGACATTATTTAGTACTATGGAAATAACGGGATTAAAACGAACTATCTTTTAAAAACGGGATAAAAAACGTCCCGTTCGGAGTTTGTCGGGACAACGGGAAATGATAATCAAAAAAGGGACAATCCCGTTTAGACGGGATTTAGTGACGTATAGTCACCCTAGCTTAATAGCATACTTCAATAACTATTGAATATATTGGTTCATATGTTGCTCAAGAGTGTAATTTGTTGTATGGTAGATAGAGAGGGGGACTTACGTAGATAATCAGAGAGATCAAAGTTTGTCACATGTATAATTTAGTATTACTATAATAAGTATAATAATAACAAAACGCACGTGCTGTGACGTTTGACTGTTGCCGCGCGCACACATTTGTATGTTTATAAATAAATTATTAAAATATTATAACTATCGTTAATAAAGCTCAATGAACCGAATTACATATCATTTGGCATACTATTTTAATTAAAATCTATAATTTTTTTTAATTTCAGTTTCCACCGCAACCGAAGACTATATATTATTTAAACAAAGTAACAATAACAATAATGAATTATGTTATGATGTTGATTTCATTATTAATAATAATAATGATAATATCAATATAGTGCTATTAAAATTATTAAACATAATGGTTCATTAGCTAGTAAATCGTTCTCCTTCGAGTAGTTCACATTCTATCATATTATTTTATATTTTATGCACGTTATCTGATTTATTTTTTTAATCAGAAAAACGCCAGTTGCACACCATCTGCTGATATACATAATAATTATTGACACCACACACGTCTGCTTGTTTAATGTACCTAGCTACTATATATGCATATATTATATCTAATAGTTATATATTATATTATTATATACACTATACAGTATAATATATATTAAGTACCTGAGTACCCAGTATACAAAATAAAAATCATATAATTTAAATATATTATAAAAGTTCATATTAGTCGTATTGGTGTAATACACTTTATTATGACCTTTTATAGTCATATTTATAGCACCGCAATAAATTGACTAAGTCGATAATTTTTTTATTTAAATTAATTAAGTGTATGGATTTTTATAGCCTGCTGCAACGTTAGATATATGTCTAATTTATGCAATTATTGCAAAAGTACGAGTAGATTTACTAATTACCAGTATATCTAAAGAATGTATTCAAACAATTTAATTTAAATTTTAAAGATTTGACAAATTATGCCTAGAGATACCGTTGACTGTGTATAATATATATATATACTCGTATAATACTATAGCTAGTGGGCTTATATTTACGAAGACAAATACGTGGTTAAATACCTAGTCGTGAATGATTTTGTTTAACAGCGTGTTCATCCCCGAGCACACGTTAATAATATTGATTGTTCACTTATGATTTTGGAAAAAAAATAGGACTTATTACTGAAGAGATATAATATGCTTGTTCATAAGATATGCGATTATTAACGATTCTTAATTTTTTTATTCGCTTACTTAAAACAAAAAATAATTAAAAAGTTTGTTTTCGGGTTTCTCGACAACTTTAATAGTAAGCAGACCTGATTTAGGTCTTGACAAATACATATTTTAAACTTCGGTGTATGATATACGTCAAGAGGACATACGCAATGCGACGGTCACTCTTTGTTCATCGTACCGCGGCTGAAAGCAGCTCGTCGTCACTATGGGCACTGTAATCGATGACGTTTAATGCAAACACATTAATAATGTCAAAATATTATACTAATTTTTACTGCAAACGTATATACGAATACACTCGCCGCGCGGTAGAAATTAAAATTTTTTTTTTTAAACTGTAATGGTTTTATAACTTTTTACAAGTCGCGCGCGTTCATCGTCGTCGACGTGCGTAACGATCAACAGCACTGCAAATTTCAAACAAAAATAATTTTATTATTATTACTAATATTGTTGCCACCACCATCGCCGCCGCTGCAGCCGCTGCCGCCGCCGTCGTTCGTACGCGTTGCAGTGGTGGTGCATAACCGCCAGTACGCCGCCGTGTGGCGTGTGCGCGCGCGTTTTTTTATTTCTCTTCGTCGTACGCTCGTCCAGCACGTCCAAATGCGATGCTTGTCGTCCGGTCTCTTCGGTCTCGGAACTGAACGCGATCGGTGTTTGTGCTCGATCGTGACGTAAAAACATTATCACACGTCTTACACTATTGGTATACCGTTGCAATTAGTGTTCACACCGTGCCCGTCAAACGTTATAATTATTATAAGACGATTCGTTTCGAATTCGACCACCGAATATTCATTCAAAACAATATCATCATCGCATCTTATTGATAATATTATACGTTGTTAGTATTCTAGTGTGCCGCATGGACGACCTGCCGATCCGCTGATCGACAACCACGCCGCCGCCACCACCGCCGTCGACCACCTGTGGCGCGCACGTGATCTTCTGCAGGTCTCGTTCAGGTCCAGCTCGGAAACGCCGAACAGTGCTGCTGTTCATCGCTTGTCATCCGTCGTCTCCGTACAATATTATTATTGCATTATTGCAATAATAATAGTTTACAATATTATACGCACGTTATAACGGACAACCGTCGTCGTCACGATGAGAGGTACGTACGGTGTATAATATTGTTATATACTGCAGTTTAATATGTTGCACGCGTACAGTATATTATCACGACGTACGATCCGACGTAAACTGACGGTTTTACGGGTGATGTGTTTTGCGAGCGTGCCACGCGACCTGAGAACCTATTGCTAAATGAGACTTCGATTCCAAGTCTAAGATATTATCTATTATTATTTTTATGTCCCCTACGGTGGTTAGAATATCTAGTTAAGCGTTGAACGTAATGAACATAAAATTGAGAAATAAAAATCAGTCCAAATAGTTTTTAATATTTTCTAAACGGGGTTTATAGTGTTTATTCCTAATACTGTACAGCGGTTCCCAAACTTTTTTGATTTATACATCTTTAAAAATAAAAAATTCAATTGTGCCTCCCTCGAAAATGAAACAAAAATTTTACTAGTGTATAGTACTATATTATATAGTAGTCTTATAGTGTATATGTGAAATATCAGTATTTTTATTGAGGCTCCCCTGTTAAGTGCTTGTACTTCCCAAGGGAACCGCGTCTCACATTTTGGGAACCATTGGTATAATCACTTGTTATATATTATTCACAATAGCCCACATAATTTGACGTTTAAAATATTAATAATGAAGAGAGTAGGAGGTACATTTTTAGAGACATTAAATGATTATTAAATAGTATATATTTGAGTAACCGTGTCTCTGATTTAATATAATATCTGTAAGCCCATTTTAAAAATAAAAATTTGGCGCCACGCCGCCACTTCACTACTTTCCTACCTCATCTTCACGAGCTTGACACTGGAGCGATTTTATGTTCATTTTTCCATAAATTATAAAATTAGTAACCGTGCTAGTCAATGGCGCCAAAGTTTATACTTATGTAAGGCAGCTGCCATACATATAAAAATTTGGCGGTAGGAAAAGATCCATAGAAGAATTATAAAAATGAATAGAAATATCACAAACTATTAAGTGATATTGCCCATATTTGGTGTTAAAGATCTATGTTTTCGTTGAGCAGTAGACACAAAATAGTTCATAGTAATACAAATAACACGTACGTATTGGCTGAAAAAAGGAAAGAAAGATAATCAAAAATAAGACATTAAAATAAAAGTGGGTGGGAAATTGTTTGTGTCAGGTTTCAAATTTGATTAACGGGTTGGATGATGGTGGTAGATTGGTAGAGGGGGTGGTAGTTGGAAATCCTTGCTATACATTTCATTTTGTATTTCGGCGCCACTGGTCCTAGAGTAGAGTTTGTACTACAGTCTTATTTTTGTATTCTCGTATATAAATTAAATAATATTAGTATAGGACACAAGCGCTCTGCAAAGTTATTAAAAATAGTAGATTTTTAGGGGATATGAATAATCCAAATTAAAGTAGCAAATAGCTTTCTCAATAATTTATATCGTATTGTTTTCATATTCTCTAATATAAACTCTCATGGTTCCCCCCCTCTCTCTCCCTCGATTTGCTTTATTACTTGTAACTTTTAATCAAGTTTTATATTTAATAAAAGTTAAAATTTTAAAAATAATATATATTAATACATTATTATAAAGAAATAAATATCAAAGAATGTCCGAGTTGCAACAATGAGCTTAACACGACTATAAGTGTACGTATCTTACAACACATAGATATAATACTAAAACTTGGCCAGTTGCCATAAAATTACATCTGTCGCTCCAAAAGCATGTGCCTCGAAAACGTACTTAAACTGAAAATTTACAATGATAATAAATCAATAAATAAACATATTGTCACGTTATATACTCCACTTTTTTATTCGTTGTTTTTTTTTAGATTTTTTTTTTCTTTATTTTGTTGTATTACTCATGCAGCGTTGTTTTATTTGTTATTATAATAAAATTAAAAAAAAATTTTTTTTTCCTTAATGTATTTTACTATCATTTTGTTAATGTTATACTGCCAATACTCATAAAGCCTGACATAGCATAAATATGTATATATACCTACGATCTACCGCTAATATAAATATTACTCAAATTATTGTTTTTTTTTTTTTTATTTAAATGATTAATAATGAATAATCTTTAAAATATAATGCTACTCTAAATAGGAAGAAAAAAATATTTTAAATTAAGTTTAATAGATCTTTTAATTTGAATTATAATATTTGAACAAATATAACCGATTAGTTATACATACGTGACTAAGTACCTTTAGCTTCTTAATAATGAATTTTATAATTGTAAGATATTTTAAACCTATTAAAAATTAATATTTTTTTTTTTAAAGGAATAAAAATTATGATAATATTAAAAAAATATAGTATACCTATGATAATTACTTTAGTTTCCTAAAATCTAAATAAAATATACATTTTGAATAAACTTAAAATCTTTATATTTAAAACAAATTTTTAGTATTTTGTACAAAAATGATTGTTATATTAATTATACATCACTAAATTGTATTTTATATTCATATAATTATAACTATATTGACTGCATGTATTGATTCTACATGATAATTTTCGATTATGTATATGAATAACCATAACAAAATTAATAACCATAATAGTTCAAAACAATAAAAGTGACAACATCGTTATCAGCTTTATTATATATTTATATATAATTGTATTTTTATTTTTAGGTAGATATCATTATATACTATACGTTTTTAAAATTGTATTAATATTTAATATTTTTTATTATTATAAATTAAATATTATTTGTCCCAAATTAAAGTAAAAGTAAAAAATTTACTTTATAACTTGTTTATTAATTAAGCAGTTTTTCAAATAACGTATATCATATTCTTAATTAAATTCTTTCAACATTATTCCATTTAAATATGTTTATACACTATAATTAATAGTAAAATCTATTGTATAATAAATACCTATTATATATTACCAATCATTAAGACGTATAAGTATTACTAGATTCAAAAATTACATAATAATTAAAAATAATCTAATCAAAATTAAAGTGCTAATCTTTTCAGTTTAACAGCATGTTTATGTTTATATCAGATTCGTATCCAGAGCTTTATTATGTAGATGATGGGGTAGAGGGGGCTGATAGAAATACTAAATAAATAAATGTACATATAATACTGCTATAGTGCTAATGTTATACTACATGGTATAAAATATTGCAAAAAAATGTGCTAAGATCTATTTAGCCTATAGGTAAAGGTATCGTTAGAGATAAAGAAAAAAGCTTGGCTTTTAATGTTTGAAAATAATGATGTTTATTGTTTATCCATTTTAATTTTTTGAAATTACCAATATGCTTTTAATGAAAGATTAAATTATCATACCAAACATAAAAGTTTATTTAATCATTATACACATAATTTCTATCAATTGTGGCACCATAATATTCAGGGGTACCGACAAAGTAAATAATTAGTGTGAAAAGTGTAAACAAGGTTTCTCATAACTTGTTCATATTATATAGCAATTAAACATTTTTAATTTTAATTTAAAAAATATATATAAAAAATAGGATGCATATCATTAGTCAATTTCGACAATTAATTAATTTTTATTTGATCTAAAACAATAGTTACACAGATTTATTGTAATAAAATAAAATTTGCCAGTTACAATAGAAATTATTGTGAATGGCTGTCACTAATCACTATAGTGTATCGGTGAAAATATTTTGAGTAAAGGTACTTTAGAGTATAATTTAATATATTTGAATTCTTAATCTTCTTTTAAATGTACGTAAATTTTGCAAAATTATTTTACATTTTACATTTTTACTTTCTACACAAGTTTTATACTCTTATGGTAGGAAAAAGATTTCCACTAAATTAAATAATGTTAATAAATTTTGTAATGCAACAGTTTTTTGAGTAATTCAAAATGGATCAATAAATTATGATTCGCACTGTTAAGACATGGCTCAAGCACGTGACATATTTATATTATACAAACGTTATTCATTAGCTATAAATTAGATGATTCATATTTTTAGTAAATATTACTAAATTTATGATTATTTAATAGGTAACTATGTATCTATTATATACAAGCTTTAGATAAGACTATTGGTTTGAAAATATGTTAGTTTTTATTGAAAATATTCTTTGTATAAGAAAAAATTATTCTTGCATAATAGATACACTTCAGTTATATTTACTCTTGTCAGTTTGACAGTTTACATACAAATGAAATTCTATGATAAAAAGTACCAGTAAACAAAACATTTATTACACTATAATACAGGACAAATTCAATATACTTACATCCAAATAGTTATAACCTGTATTTATATACCTACATCGGTCCTACACGGCACCACCTATTGCATCCTCAAAACTTATATATGAACTATGCCACTGTAGCTGTGTATAGTCTATAAAAAAATACATATAAATTAATTTACAAACTATCGACTTATTATAGACTATTAGATTTAGGGATGATATTTGAACATGTGTGTACTTATATATTTATATTTGTTAATACATAAAATGATTTATAGTACGGCTACAGCCTATTTGAAAACTTTTACATTTTTAAATTTATTCACTAGTTCTTCATAAACCAGGTCTTGATTTAAATACAAATTGTAAGAATAAGATTGTATTCAAAATGCACATGCAATATTTTAATCATACTTTTGCTTTTACATTATTCACATAATTGTATAGTTGATTATTCGGCGTATGAATCGTGTTAACTGTTTACTTAGATAACTTTTACACGAATTACATTTTAATTAAAATTGATTATTACTATGTATTCCAAATTTTGATAGAATTTCCACAATTTAATAATTTTTTTTTATTTTATCTAATATTAAAAAAATTATTTTTTTAATAAAAGTAATGAAACTGAAACTTATCTATGACAGGATGTAAAGATATTTTATGAATATGATGTACATTTTATATGTATCGCATTTTTTGGTCACAAAATAATTGTTTTTAGTCTTTAATAATAACAACAGCTCAAATAGAATTTTTATCTATTATTCTGCATTTGATAAATTAATCACGTAGACTAACAGTAATTGT